GGGGAGCGGGTCAGCGACAGGGAAGCAGCATGGGAGCCGCGGCGCTGCCAGGGGGAGGCAGAGGAGGCCAGGCGTACCAGAGGGAACGGCAAACACGACCGTCGTCTCGAAGCTGCTCAGGCAGCGGACAGACACACTACGGGTCTCGGTATTTTGCCCTGCCAGGAGGATGAACATCAGTCAAAGGGCCATGCCGGGAAGATGGGCAGCGGGGCCGGGGAGGGCGGAGGGCGGAGGGGAGAGAGAGAGAGAGAGAGAGAGAGGGAGATGTACCGATGGATGCCAGATCGAAGCGGCTGCTGGAGGTCTGACAGAAAACATGGCGGATCTGGGGGAGGGCCTGGCTGGTGGAGGGCTCGCGCGATGGGGCCGGGCGGATGTGGGCCGGCGGCCCGGGGCCGGGCGAGTCGCCAGCCGCCAGGAGCCCCTGCCCTGGGCCGAACGAGGCGTCCGTATGAAAGCGCAGGGGCATCAGCGACGTGGGGGAGGTTCGGGCCGATCGGGGCAGGGAGCCGGGCTCATCGGACGCGAGCCCACGCGGCCGGGAAGCGTCGGCCGTCGGGGTGGCGGTGCGCTCGGCCGGCTCCGGAGGCGCCAGCGGGACCGTCTCGATGGGGGAGTCCAGGGCACCGGCGCTCCCGAGCAGATGCCCCGGCAGCGAGGAGTGCAAGTTGGTTTTGATTTGCAATCCGGCCAGATTGGGCGAGCGGCTGCCGGACCCCGGCAGGGACCCGGTCACCGGGGTGGCCAGGGTGAAGCCGGCTGCTCGGTCGCCATCGGCCGATGGCTGCCCGGTGGATGAGAGGGACGTCTGGCTGGAGTCCGAAAGTTCGTACGTCAGCCCGGAGTCCGAGTCGGAATACAGCGAGTCCGAGTGCGTGTCCAGATCGGACGCCGAGGGGGTGGTAGAGGCACTGCCCGAGTCCATCGCTGGGCAGAAAGCCGGTGGGGGTGGGGGTGGGAGTGGGGGGGCGGACAAGGGAATGGGCTCCTGGCGCCTGAGCGGA